TACAGGCCGATACCGATAGGGGGCCGATTATATAGTGCATCCCTAGTTATTACTCAGAACCACTGGATAAAAACCGCAACATGAAACCTTTGGATTCTGCTCTATGATAATAAGAGTCGCATTAGTGACAGTTTTCACATCAAAGTTTGTTTTATCTAAAATGTAGGAGTTCTACATCCTCAATAAGTATTTGTAAAGCTTCCCACAACTAAAAAGGAGGTAAAATCTGTAAAAAAAAAAAAAATATATACGGTATATATACCCTAGATTTAAGATACAGCTGATATAACAACATTATCAGTCATATAATAGATGACAGTAATTTAAGGTTACTATATCAGTTACTATAGATGTAAGAAGGACAAATAAACACAATTTTTAATATTCATGATTAAAAGTTGCCATTAAATCCCATGTTTCCTCTATATAATATCAGAATACAAACAGGAAATTAGATTTGTTGGAATCTTTCATGCTGTATTAGCTGCTGCCTTATCTTTACAACACAACAAACCCTCTCCTGAGCTGGTTTATAATTTACCAGACGTTCCTCTAACAGGTGCTGTGAGCGTTAACGGCCCTATGCAGCCCATTTAACACAAAATGGCCCCTCATTTATCCCATAATCACCACTCTAATAATAGATAACAAGAGTAACAGCTGAGATTCTTCTGCCATCCAGTTCAGTTTCTTTATCTAAATCCAAATCTCAACGTCGTTATTCGTAGATTTAAATGTATTCCAATTCATTAACAGCTGTTTATGCAAAGCAGTCAAACTCAATAAATAATATATCAGAAAAAGTATTTAAAACATTTAATTTATAACAATTCCACCTTCTGAACAAGCATGAGGGGATAGTGGAAAGGAACAACTTCAGCATCAAGAAACCTCCAGCAGAACCAGTTCAGTGTTTCTAAGTTTTAATTTTATAGTTTAATTTTATATTATTAATCATGATTAATCGATTATTAAAATAAGCGCCAACTAAATTAGTAATCGATTAATCGTTAGCTGAAGTACTGAGACTCTAAAACATGCATTTAGCTGACAGAGCAACCAAATTACAGCAGTAATTATATCAAATATATAAACATTTAGCATTTAAGATTACCGTATTTTCACGACTATAAGGCGCACTTAAACGTCTTTTTTTCCCCTCAAAATGTGCGGTGCGCCCTATGGTGCGGTGCGCCCTATGTGTGTTGTAACTGCGACTTTTGAGACCACCTCATTGAGGAGATGATG